TATTGGTCATGGCGTCAGACTACATTCACCATTAAATACAAATTGATAATCGGACAGTAGTATTGCATAGCAGTTGGTTGCGGGTGGGTGTAAAAAGATTTTACAAATGCACCTCATTTGACGCACAGATTTACACTCGAACCAAACCATTTTTCAGTGTGTTTTTTCCCTTTTCGGTTATTTCTGTCCATGATTGGATAGAAAAAAAACGAACTACAAATACTCCAAGATTTTTTTGACTTCATTAAAAAATAAAATCGTTTTTGTAGGATGGAAACTTTTTGAGGTCAAAACCCCCCACCCCCAAACTAAAGGAAATAAGTTTTTTATCCGACATCGATCTTTTGACGTTGTCCCTTATACTTGGATGTACCAGGGTATATATTGTAAAAAATTGGAAGTTACATTATTTTATGTCTGGTGACCATTAGGTTTGTTCATTTATGGCACATGTATCAATGTCATCTACAAAAAAAAATCTGACTTTCTATTGCAAGACGCAAACTGCATTTATTTTTGTTCAGTTAACATGATACAATACCAAATAAAAGAAGAAAGCCCAAGAATGTTATCATGGTAAAATATTTATTGAAGAGTGTTAAAAACAATGTGTACTGCTACTCCATTGTTTTTTAATACCGATATGAGTAATTGGTTCCATGAAAAAAAATTATATTACGTCACACTGTCAAAAAAGCTTTTCTGAAGCATATCCAGGAACCCATTTTTTAAATTCAACCTAAACTTTTTATACCATTGTACTAAATTAGTTCTCCTCTCCACTTTCTCACTGAGAGTTAGTTTTTCTTCAAGTCTTAAAATTTCTGGCAGTTCTGACCAGTGTTTGATGAATATAAATGGTGGATTTGTAGATTTTAGAAGACAAAGTGGTGAATTTTGGCAGTAATTTGAGTCTCCACACTGTCCGGATGTCATAATGTCCTCTATGACTGGAACTGATCCGTAGGCACATGCTTCATATATTCTATAACATTCTGTATTCACACCAACAGGAGATAATGTCAGATCACTTTCTAACAAAGTCTGTTCATATTTTGTTCTACTGTCGTCAGTTTCATTAGGTTCCCACCTAGAAATTAAAAAGAAAAATTAGCCACACTGTATGTAATGAAGATGTTGATTGATTAACGATGATTACTTTGTAATTAAAGAAAAGTTAATATATACCAATGAATATATCAAAGTAAACTACCGGGGGGTATTCTATGAATTGTGTAGAATAAAGTATAGAATAAAGCCAAAGTATTCAGGCTCTTGTGGGATAAAAAGTGTAACCCAAGTTAATATTTCACATGATTGCTTTATATCCTGGAAAAGCCTACATATAATGTGCTTTATCAAACTTAATCTATAAATATACATTAATGAGTCCTGTGTGTGAAAGTGCAGTCAAGTTCAAGCCACTGACCAACATCAACTTTCAGGCAGATCAAGATACTAAGTGTATTTCAAACACTCATTCTGAGATTTGAGTTCAAACCCAGCTGTTTCTTCTATCAGTGCAAGAAGACAAAGTCAAAAGATCTATATAAATAAATGACGGAGGGCTTTACATCATATAAACTTCCCAGAACTGTACTTGATGCTTTTTATGTTCAGACTACAAACTGAAGGCACAAATCAAACTCAGAAACTAGGCTTAATAACTAAGCAATTCTGATTGGTTGAGACGCTATAGGCTGGCAATGGTAAGCTGATATGAATATTGCAACTTTGTTATCAAAACAGTAAGCTATATTACAATACTGCTGTGGTTGGGTTGCTTTTTCATTCACAGTAATGTAAACAGATGTCTTTTCAATAACATAACTATATTTAGCATATATTAAAAGGTATTTACATGGTCTGAATATGTTTCCTGTAAACACAATGTAAATCATTGTAACAGATATTTCAGGTGATTCAACTTACGCTTGTCTCGTTTTCATATAACATCTGTCACTGTAATCACTGTCAGATAAAACTTTGATGAGCATCTGTCTGGACGAATTATCATAGACTGTACCCATGAAATTACACATGTACTTTCTGCCAAAATTCAGTTCCGTTGTAAGAGCTTCAATTTTGTTGAAACCACGATATCTGAAAAGTTCAAATTAGAAGATGCAGACTTTGTATCACAATAGTTGAAGACGGATGTATTCGTAGGATTACCATTGTGCATTTTGAGGTGCACTTAACAGTGCTTTCTGCGCAATAACTTGTCATTACTTGGCACAAATAGTTGCATAATTGTTTGGATTGCTGTTGAAAGTATTACCTTTTTGAAGTGAATAAATAAATATTCCTAGGTACAATGCTGGTTTTGATTTAGATATTTTCAATCATGAAAAGCCATTGCGCTTATGGGGTATGTTTGAAAAAAAAAAAACTATTTTAATTTAATAAATAATAAAAGTATAGAAAAATTATTTACATTGTAAACAATTTTCCATAATAACAAAGTAACCCAAAAACGTTGTTGATGTTCATGTGATGTTGTTTCATTTTTAAAGTAACCAATGCTGTTGAAATACCAAGGAATATTCCAATGTTACAACTAAAATTCAATAATAAAACAAATCATAATTAACATTACAGAGTACATTATAGAATATAAATTTTTATTATTCCCGGGTGTTTTCCACAGCAAAATAGCATATAGTACTGGAGACACTTTGCATAACAATAAAACGTGTTAATTATCTACATTGTTTTGTTTGATAAGATGACTGAATAATATTGTTTATAATGCATACAACAGATTACTTATTTGCCCTAATAGTAACATATACCAAGGTAGGTCTATTGCAAAATAAGGTACTTATTATGTCATTCTCCTCTCAATTGGGCTCATATCCATATTCAGTTACAATGTAGATTTATAATCCAACTAAATTGTTTTTATATTCTGGGGTCATATTTATTATTTCTCAAAAATCAGTGCAACTTACGTGGCAACTCCAAGTGGCCAAGGGTGAATGTATATGCTGTCAATCATTGGACTGTCATAGACGATAAACAGATGATCCACCAATCCACCGTGCTGTCTCATGTATGGTAAAAACCAATCATTGTCACATTGCTCATTGCCCAGTAAGAGGACTGCCGTCTTTTGAAGTTCAGACAAAGTTGAGAGATGTTGCAACCAAAGATGTGCGAAGTCAATTTTATCTGGCGCTCTGCCATTTATAAGGAGTATAAGATATTGCACGTCAACTGGCGCCTTACTGGGTATCACTCCGGGTCCTGTTCGAAATCTGTAGAGGGGGGAATGTGTACATTAAAACAAGAATGAAGCAAGTTTTATACTGCATAACGTTACTCTTCAACATTCCCTATATGATTTTAAACCTATTTTATTTTGGAGAAATGAGCACAAGTTGCCAATAAATACAACAAACAATCACTTATGGCAACAGCTTAAACTGTCATATCTTTGTTGAGTTTGTTTCCAGTGTGAAAATAGTCTTCTCTTATATACAATTGAAAGTTCTCTCCCATAATGTAAAAATGTGCAGTAGACTAGAGGTCACGCTGAACTTCAAGAAAATTACTAGTAAGTCTTCACCCTTGCCCTTGAATCATCAGATAGCAAACATTTCTTGTTTTGCAGTATACAATGAAGTCAACAAACTCATATTTATGTACACATGGCTTTGTTGACTGCAGAGTATATAGTCAGTACACTTACTTGAATTTGATATTCCTTTCTTTCTTAAAACCATAATGCCATATGCCATTCATCTTGGATTCTAGTTTCCCTTCAAGTATGTGCTCCCAAAAGTAATGACCTACAAGAATACAAAGCAATGTAAACAGAGACATTAGACAAAGACAAGTCATTGGTATGTACTATTGACATCACAGGAGAGGGCACTCTCACAGACAAAAAGGTCAAACTCACTGACCAAAAATGTGTTTATATTGACACATGAGGGAGCTGTTCAAATAATAAGTCAAAGCTAAAAAGATATTTCTGAAGACGCATGAAAATGGGTAGAGCTGGTAAATTCAGGAAATACCACCACCCACATGCAATTTAAGAATTCTCGTTTACCTTAGTAATGTCATGCCCTGTGTTACAACAATAGCTCATTTTAGCCCCTTTAGTGAAAATTACAGAAAAGTTATATATGTACAAGAGCAAAAATCAGACCAAAGAAAGTCATGAACAGAATATAGTAAATGTTTTACTGATTACCAATTGCTGCTTTTCCCCAGACTTCAACATAATGATAGCCATCGCTTTCATTAATGGGATTAAATTTTTTCCCAAAATCCAACTTTTTACTGCTGCTCCATTTAAACTTTGGTTTCACATCTTTGTTATCATCTGCCTCATTTCGGAACAGCTCTTCTCCCCATGGATTCCATTCTTCATTGTCCTGGTGACGTTTGCTGTCTAAAAAATAAAATGATTCTTTTTGAATTAAGAAATAAAATCTTCCATCCCCATCCATGCAGGAAAGAAATGTATACCATAGGACATATATGCATGTGAATATTGTATTGCTTTCCTAGGCCACCGGCCAATATACAAACACTTCAAAAAAATGCTTAAAATGTAACAGGTACAAGTAGAATATGAGTCATGGAAATGCATGAGTCATGGAAAGCAAAAAAAGTTACACCAAAATTATTACATAGAAATAAAAAAAAGTTCAAAAGTAAGTGAGGACAAACACCAATTTGCACAGTTCTGAAGGCTAACCTATACTGACAACCTATGCAACAATTTATTTGAAAGTTTTGTTTTTGGGACTTTTGGTTGTCATGCAGTCTTTGTTCTTGTTTGGTACACTTTGTTGGCCTCCTTGGTATTGCAACTTACAACTAAATTAGATCATGTCTGACAATGTGAAAAAAAAGTGAATGACAGAACCACAGCTGTTAAACAATATTTTGAAATAATATCTGAAAGTTTTTTATTATTTATTGCGTTTTAAAGTGTCTGTTTTCATTATTTTTTGTAACTATAAACATTATTAATGTTTTTTACACATTGTAAATTATTACACATTTTGTTTCTCAACATCTATATTATATAACGAGTATCAAAAATGTAATGGGAACTGAATATCTATATTAAAACAAAAGTGATTATGAATTCATTCATTCATTCACCACATATGACATTGATTTGTATAAAATAATATTATAATATCTACGGTATATATTATTTTAAACCCAGTATGCACTATATTATTCAAATTACGTACATTTATATTCACAAATTGTACACTTATATCCCCAAATTGCGCTATTTCATTAACAGTTGACAAACTGACAAACATAGTTAACTTTAAGGTCGATACAAAGTAGCAGCCAGTTCTCTCTATCTCAACACATGAACAAAGGACGCGAATTCCTACCACACACGCACCTTTTGCCAGCGGCCTGGGCTTCTTAAAACCGTTTGTTGATGTGTCAGACACACGAGTTAATAAAATAAACGTTGTGTAACAGGTAATTATGCTGTACACAACAACTCCAGCGAAAACAAGCCTACGCAGTGTCAACTGCATAACTCCATTATTTGTTCCCAAACAGCTGATCACAATACTGCAAGCGCCATCTAGTGTCGACCTTCATCAAAACTTTCTAATTTCGGAATGCTGCGAAGAAGCGGTAAATACTTGACTTAGTTCATGTGATGTTAAATACGCAGACAATAACGCTTCCGATATTTTTGTCTGGCGTTTACACTATTTTACACTAACATAAACATTACCCAATTGTGTTTGCTGCCCTCTAGAGACATATTTTAAAATGACTGCGCACGCGGGAGAGAATGTGCTTTCCTCCAGTTCAACGATTACAAGTACTGTGGCTGAGATGCATTGTTCGAGTTAACTCGCACTTTTTCGTTGATTGTTTATTCATTATGATATCGTTGATTGTTTATTCATTTGCTCGTAAATATATTTCGTATGTTTCTACTGCACTGCATCTTTGTTTCTCAATCGACATCGTGAACAAGAGAGAACACCGCTTTTTGTTCATTTCTACCGATCATAGCTTTGTGTTTTGTATCGATATATTTCGCCGCAACATATGTATATCCTACCCAAAAATTGCAAAGAACCCGTTCAATGTATTGTACCGGTTCTGTCTGTTCGTTCAGCAACTAAACATGTTCTAATTTTTGCTTTATATGTTTGTCTTAGTCAATTCTTGGTGACAACGCTCACTACAGGATTTGCAGAATTATTAAAACATTGCATGCCACCATGATGTGTAAAATTTTCAAACTTATATAGAGTGTTAGATTTCTTTTTTTGCTATATTCTATAAATACATATATCATCGAAAGACTTTGCAACAAAGCTACAAAAAAACGCCCCTACATTTTATGCATTATACTAATTTATTCATTAAGTGTAGTTACGTGCTCATGAATATTTATTACCTTTTAGGTCTTTACATACGAAAAGGGGTGATATATAAATGTCACGATAATTGTTGGGGGCAAGAGTTAGAAAAAAAGGAATTTTAGTAGTCTTAGGGGGTCTAGTAGAAAACTCCTCCCCCCCCCCCGAGTATCTGACAACACGCACCTCATACAGATCATCGGCCCTGTAACACTGCTTGTAAATGTCCGATATTGGTTTTACTACATTCATTTTTATAGTGCCAAATATATGTAGGTATTTAGTAGGTATTTCTTGGACAAGACCGAGATAGAACCTAGATGCGACCTCTCCTTTTTCATGTTGCGGTCAATCTGGCTTTCACGCACCGGTCATTTCAAAAAGGGCTTTACAAAGCCCGCAATTTTTTTTTATTTACATAATTGCGGTTAGAAAGTATCAATGACCCAGTGTGACTTGTAGCTGGTACCTGAGTTAATCGTCTTCTTCTTAACCAGGTTTGCTGTCGTTATTAATAATGACGGCCATTGAATTTCTAATATTTTCGGGAATCTAATATTTTGATTTTTGATGAAATTTCAATTGATGAATTGTGGTAAGTAATCACAATTTAGATTTTAGCTGTGATTCTCGGAGTTATTCCTGTGTTGGCGACATTTAGTTTTCAACAATAAGATTTTGAATCATATCCTATCCAAAATCCTATTTTCATTTCGGGACGTTTCATTTTATTTAATTATTAAGACTTATTGTAAATTAAGTCATTGAGGCTGGAGATTCCTGATGTGCAGATAAGTCCACAATTAATTTTTTTTCATGGAATACTTGCCTACTGCTATTACAAAACGGCTATTTTTTTTATAAATATGGTACAGGCGCCACATCAAAAGGTCCTAACAAATAACCCTAGGCTTGTATATCTCTGAATTTAACAACAGTTCCACGCCCTGTGGGTCATTTCTGACAGACACATTGTTATTGTATTCAAAAGTCACAGAGGCAGTGTCATTAATTTCAGTCATGTAACCAGAACGGAGTGCTTCACAAAGACCCACAACAAAAGTAGCATCAGAATGCTATAGGCTAAATCATTTTCTAATCTATCAACATGAATCGACATACTTGCTGTATACCGTAGTCACTGAGTTGGTGGATATTCGGTCTTTTACTGCTGGGTGTTTTTTTTTCCCACGAGTGAGGTATGATGAATGCAAATACAAACAACCCATCTTTGGACAACCTATGTTTATGTTATAATTACAAATTTCATTGTTGGCATGAAATATGTAAGGACTCCCTCTCATGTCAGTATTTGATGTCACGAGTCTGCTAATATTGATGACACGGGCTTAGGTCATACAAGTGCGTTGTGCTACATGTATGATGGACCAATCAACTTTAACCTATCTTCCATGGAGCCATGTTGATTTTCTGGGGGCAAACTGATGAACAAGCTTCCACCAAAACTGTTGGCCATGTCGGTTTGATAGAAATAAAGTTCTTCACTCGTGGACTTGGACTGGACAGGTTCATAATGGATTTACTGTTCAATCCTTTATTTACTAGAATCCACAGAGCAGCTAAATTAGGGACAACATCAAAAGTTCGATTGTTAGATAAAAAACTTAATTCCTTTAGTTTTTTCTCAACCCCTCCCCCACTGAAACTTAATTGATAAATATTGATTATGGCGTCAGACTACATCCACCATTAAGGTAGCGAGAATGGAAATTTTCACTTTTTTCTTGATTTTTCGTGGATATTTGCATAGTGTTTATCTTTGGAAGGAATTAAATGATAACATCTTATCTGTATACTCTGTT